GGGACAAAATTTTGGCAGAGATGTCCTTACGTTATCCTGTGGGTGGTGCGCTAATGTTGATTGACAGGCTCGAAGTAATATTACACGCATAAAATGCTGTATAATAATTGCCTTAGTATTTATCACCTCCAAATGTTGATTTAGAATGTTACAAGTTGTGGAGCAATTCGGGTGAGGAAAGAAGATCATACGTCTATTCTCAGAATAAACAAAACAGAACCATATAAAGGCTATTCGTGTGAGCACATTTAAAGGGGTCATATGATGCGATTTCTATTTTTCCTATTCTTTAGTGTGTTATGTAGCTATTTGTGCATGTATAAGATCTGCAGAGTTACAAAGCTCAAAGTCTCCCACAAAAGGAGTTATTCTATCTAAAAGAGAAGGCTTAACTAAGGACATTATGTACTGTCTTTACATTTATGTTGAAAGCAGAAGCTCGCGATTATGGAAAGGGACGTTACATTTCCGACGCGTGCTTGTGGTGTTCGGCCATAAAGGATTTAACGTATAGTCTACTTTGTTAATTTGATTCACTACTCAACATAGAAAAAAAAAAAACATGGCAGCTAGTTACTGACCTGATGCAGACACATAGCTGAAGCGGATTGATATCGTCTTGGTGGAGCGAGGTTCACGTAAGGTAATGTGAAAATAAGCGGGGCAGTCTCAAATCTGCCCCAATGGCTCTCAATTAGAGCACGCTGCAGTTCCCCTTTTCACCACAGATTTACGTTGCAAAATTGTGGGGCGCTGTTGAGCTCGGGAGGTCTCGGGCACCATCTGCCCCGCTTAGTATCATACATGCCTGCTAAAGCCATGTGTGGGATTTTAATATATACTGCTTACTTTACCACTTAAAATAGTCTAGAAAATCCGAAAAATATTTGTTGTAGAATGCTGAACACATTTACAATTTATTATTGATTCAGTTTATATAGAGGTCTATGTTTTGGATTAATATTTTGGTGAGGCCCATATAGACGAGCCACGCCTGGGCACTATAATAATAGTGTTCAGTATTGGAAAACAGTGTGTGTGTTCATGATGGTGATTTCAGTGACATTGTTCCGCCATTAGATGGCGACAAGAGACTGTTTTTAACGAGTCAGCAGTAAAGACTTCTATATTGTAAGAGACTGAAACACTGTTGTAAACAAGGAAGTTATTTTTACTTTCAACAGCTTGTAAGATGCAGCCAACAAATGCACTGAGCAGCGCTGTCATTGGAAATCACTCTTAACAGATGAAAGGATAGTACGACAAAGATATCGCTTTCCTCGGCGGACATTCAAACTAATGTTTTATTGTGAATATGAGATTGATCTGAAGAATAAATGCTGTATCAGATGCAGGTAATCACACTCACTCTGTCCGTCTCTCTCATAATACTTTACACTACATAATACAGTGAGCTTTAAAAACAGTAAAACAATAAGCTTTTAATGAAGCAACTCAACGTTCATTCGTTACTAGTTCTAAAGTGATGTTTTCGAATTAGTAATGGAGGCTTGGGCTCAGCTGTTAACTGTCAAACAGAAGGTGCATCCCAAATCGCGTACTTATGCACTATTCTATGATGTTTTGTAGTGTGAGTAGTGTGTTCACACTGAAAATTCCAAAAAGAAAAAGTGCACTTTAAATACCTGGATAATGCACTTAAATAACCAAAAATTAAAAAATTAAAAACGAAGTGTGGAATGTTGGACACTTCATGCACTCAACTGTCGCAGCTTTAATTACAGACTCAAAAAGTAACCTTATAAAATAACCTTATAAAATTCATACACTACATGGTTGAGTACATAGTACATAAGTACATAGTGTATAAGTGCATAGTATATAGTGCGTCATTTGGGACGCAGTTTGAGATTTGAATCCGTGGCGGAAGGAAGTAGTTCTGCACAAAAGAGGGCTTTTAAAGACACTGCTTTGTTGTTTCTTATGTATTTACACACTTGTGCCATCAAACTGTTGTATAAATTCAATATCACACTCGTAGTCGTGCGATATGGCTGTATATCAGCACGCTGTGATTACCTACGGACGAATCACAGCAGTATATAATTTTATAATTTCTATTCATTTTATATTTCATATGTTTTATTTTAATATATTTAATATGTTCTATCTGCTATACTTTATCTTCCACTATTTTACATATTTATATTAATTATTTAGTATATTCTATTAATTTAATATGTATTTAATTTTATTTTTATTTACATGTGCTATACATATTTTGTCCACAATTTTAAACTATGTCATAACCAGTGTTGGGGAAAGTTACTTTTAAAAGTAATGCATTACAATATTGCGTTACTCCATAAAAAAGTAACTAATTACGTTACTTAGTTACTTTTTATGGAAAGTAATGCGTTACGTTACTTTTGCGTTACTTTTAAAATCTGGACAGGGCTTGCTTGTTTGTTTTTAAAATAAAAAAGTTATATTTTTGGCAAATATAAAACCCTTTTCACACCAAAAGTGAAATGAATAAGCATCAGGTTGAAGGGAAAGTAAATTTACATCCAAATTTCAAAACACTTCAGCAATAAAAAAAGACACAAATGTTTGTCTAGAGTAATTTGTGATTATTAGTACGGTTGAACTGGATCATCGAAGGTCAGAAGCAAAGACATTGGTTAATAGAATGGGATTAAATACATAAAGCATATTTGTGTTGTTTAACATTTAATTATTGCAGGTTTGCGTCATATTCCGAGTTGCATTATTTTTATTCATTTTGAGGAATACTGAATCTGTGTTGTTGTTTTTTTTGAGTGAGATGAATTAATGCATATTCATATTTATTTTATAACTACAGTAACATCTTCTGATTTCTCTCAACATGGGGACAGGAGAGCTGTCAATCAATAAAAAAATTTAAAAAAGTAACTTGCATTACTTATTTGAAATAGTACCTCTGATATTTTGTTGTAAATTTAAACTACAGGCTTACAAAACCATTCTCAAACGTCTGCATTTTCCAGCATTAGTGCAGACATGCAGGTGTGATGTTGTGTGACACAGTCGACTTTCTGAACTGTGTGGAATATTTCATACTGTATGAAATTTACAGAAAAAAACTGTTGTTCCTCCAGAGTCACATGTAGTTTTATCCTGCATGTTAGTCATGTTTCAATTCAGTGTTGCAGGTTTTAGTATGTCGTCTTGTTCCGTCTGATTGATCATTTCGCATTGCATTAGTTCCCAGCCGCAGAAGAAACACTCTTCAGCAATAAAAAAACAAAGCACAATTGTTAGTTTCTCTAGAGTAATTTTTGCTTATTAGTTTGGTTGAACTGGATCATCGAACGTCAGAAGCAACGACATTGGTTAATAGAATGGGATTAAATACATAACGGATATTTGTGTTGTTTAACATTTAATTATTGCAGGTTTGCGTCATATTCTGAGTTGCATTATTTTTATTCATTTTGAGGAATACTGAATCTGTGTGTGTTTTTTTTTTTGTGAGTGGGGACAGGAGAGCTGTCAATCAATAAATTGGAAAAAAAAGTAACTTGCGTTACTTATTTGAAAAAGTAACTCAGATATTCTCTTGTAAATTAAAAAGTAATGTGTTACTTTACTAGTTACTTGAAAAAAGTAATCTGATTACGTAACTCGCGTTACTTGTATAAATATAACTATATTTAATATATAAACATATTTTCTTAAATATATACATGCATGTGTTTGTGCTGTGTGTGTATATATATATATATATATATACACACACAGCACACACACATATTATGTAAACAAAAACTTTTTTGGATGCGATTAATCGCGATTAACCGTTTGACAGCACTAATTTAAAATTATATATATTTTACATGCTGTACTCCATCTGAAACTATTTTATAATGTTCTATATATATTTTTTTATTTTTATTTAATTTGTTTACATTTTTATGCATGCATTATAGCCTATTTTACATATGCATAGCCTATATATAAAGACATTGATCAAGCTTAACCGATTATGTATCATATACACGCCTTTAACGGTGTTTTTAAGCAAAACCCACTAGACACACCTACGTGCACTTTCGCCCCATTACCGTTTAGTAGATTAATTTACCTGCGTTGCGTTCTGACAGCTTCGCCGAAGTGCGCATATCTGTTCATGTTAAAACGCAAAAACAATTGCTTCAACGCTCGAGTAAATGCCCTTTTTCTTGCGTTCATAAGAAAGCTGTTTTTGACAGTTGGCGTAGCTACTGTTGTGCAAGTAAACGCGCTCCTAACGAGACATTAACGTGACTTACCATCCTCTGCCTTCACTGAGTTTTGTAGACTCAACTGGACCAGGACCAGGACGCAGAGTGAAAGCACGACAGAGCCTCTCATCGCCATGCCGTGTTCAGTCCCACAGCAGAATGAGCGTTCACAAGCGTTCACAAGCGTTCAGCTCACTCTCATTAACACAACTGCGTAATCTAGACACACTTTGAACTTTGCTATGGGGACTGTGGTTGCCAGATTCATTAAATCCCGGTTTAAAATGATTCAGTTAACTTTGGTCAAGGTTAGGTTGTCGACGTGGAACGTTTAATTGAAACGTGGAACGCGATTTCAATAAATAAATTGAACAAGGGCCCCAGAAAACCAAGCAACCCCACTTTTCCCAAAATTAAAATCGAATACTTCAGCTTTTCAGATCTTCAGCTTTTTGAGCTTTTTTATTTGGTTTCATTGACATCAAATTATGTTTCATGTTTGTAATTATTTTATCCTTTTTTTGTTTTAAATTTAATAAATTTAGATTTACTTTAATTAATATAGGCCTACGTCATATGAAACTGTTTTATAATTTTTATACAAATTAGTTTATCATGTTTTATATTTACTGAATGTATTTTATTTTAATTTATATATCCATGCTACTCCATCTAAAACTCCATCTAAAACTATTTAAATTTTCATCTATATATACTATACATGCTATACTTAATCTAAAACTATTTTATACATTTTAATACTTTTTATATTTTATATTTAATTATTTTAATTTTATTTACATATGCTATACAGGCTATACATCATCTAAAATGTTTTATATATTTTTTTATTCTAATCATTTTATAATTTGTATTTCTTTTATATCTATTGATTTATGCGATGCAATACTTTATATCTGTTTAATTAATTAGAATGTACATTTTCTACTTCATCCAAAACTATTTAATACATTTTATAGTTTTTTTTTTTTTTTACATTTATTTTGTTTTAATTTATGTGTCTGTGTGTAATATATGCGTCTGAAACTATTTTATACATTTTTTAATGGTTTAATAGAATCATATGGACATGAATTTCTGTTAAAGTGTCTGCTAAATGACTAAATGTAAATAAATGTGTAACATTTTGTCTGTTTTTAGAAATGTTAAATAGACCAAATTATATTGCTAATTATTATTAATATTATTTTATTAGTAATTATTGTTTTTGTATCATTTGTATAATTAATAATGAAAAAATGCATACATCTGCAATTACGCGGGAGGTCAACCAAACTATAGAGTGCCTCAGCAAACTTCCAATGTGCCCTCGAGATTATTAAAAAGTCTGACCTGGGAAAGTCATGTAAACTAATAAAACCTTTTTAATGTAAATTTGAATATATTTTAAAGTAGCATTGCCTTTGTTGTGTGCAAAAAAAAGAGGCCCTTGGAATCAACAAGGCTGAAAAGCACCGATATACCAAAAATTGGCAGAAAATAAAGGGGATCCATATTAGGCAAGTTGTAATGTAGTCGCAAAATGATTTATTGGTGTGGTTTCTTTCAATCTGGCAACACAAAGAACTTTATCAAATTGTGGCTGTCATAGAGTAATTCAGCCCTTTACCCTAGTGCCTATTCATAATGACGACGCGACGAGGATTTTGATATTTACCTTACATGGACCTACAGTTCACATATACACATGTCGACCTAGAAACAGAACAGTATAGTTCCAAAGGGCTAGTTAACTTAGCGATGCTTAGCTTCACTCGCTGCGGTTCAGGTTCAAGAATGAATGTGTTCCTTTCAAAGGTATAGTGTATAGTGCTGAGTGTATACGCGCTCGACGCATCGGGCCAGTGGCGCAATGGATAACGCGTCTGACTACGGATCAGAAGATTCCAGGTTCGACTCCTGGCTGGCTCGGTTCTTTTGAACTTTGATTCTCGAGTTCATTTCGGTAATGTTACTCATTAGAAACTCGATACTCCGACAAACACTTTAGTGAATGGATGCAGGACACGCCCAAAGAGTGTATGTGAAAGCTCAAATTAATATATGTCACCGCAGGATGTCATAAAAACAATCGTTAGAATTTGACTTAATGGTTCCTTTTTGTTTAAATACGTTTCGCCACTGTTTTGTTTATCTTCAACACAATGAAAAACCTCATAGCTTTTGGATAAAGACAAAAATATGATTTTAAACCAACACCAAATGTAATAGGTAGAAAAAAACACCTACAAAAACAGTAATAGAGAACATTTATATGGCTTATAGTGACCCAAACCCACTGAAATCCTTTCAGAAGCAGTTTCTGATAATTATTCGCAAATATGCAATGTTTACATTGTGAATTTAGCAAATAAAACGCTTTTATAACGTACTTTGCTGGAAAGTCTCTTTTATTTTGTGCAGGACAGTGAAGCACTGCCCCCTCGCGGCACGTCCGTAAAACTACTTATTTACCTCAGCCAATCCAAAAGGTTATATTTTATGTTTAAGATTAAGTTTATCATATTAATACGTTTTGATAACTTTATGCAGGCAGTGATAGTGCAGCTTATTACAGCAAAGGGGGTTTTCTATGTAACAGAGGCATTAGACATGATTTTATAACTTTCTGATTTGAATCAGTTGCAAGGAGACGCCGCGAGAGGGCAGTAGACTTGCACTCAAAATTAAAGTTAAAACTTAATGTTTTGAGTCACCTTTTAGCTCTTTCTTTAGTGAAGTTTGTTAAACGGTCAGTTTAGCGAAGGATTTTAGGACGTTTTTTCCTTAGAGATAACGCGAATCGACAATAAACCAGTTCACACGAGTTCTAAAGTCTAATTTTACATGATACTAAATTAATGTGAATATTAACATGCATATTTGTACGAGTATTCGTGCCTGACTCTATCAGCGGCCGCAAAATGTAGGCTAACGAATCAAAGTTCAAAAGAACCGAGCCAGCCAGGAGTCGAACCTGGAATCTTCTGATCCGTAGTCAGACGCGTTATCCATTGCGCCACTGGCCCGATGCGTGAATCAACTAAGAACATTTGTATTTAACATATAAATTCATATAACATATAACATTAAATACATATATAACATTCATATTTACATGTTGTAAAAACTGCATGAAGTTCATTTATCAGAATCAAATGTTGTTTGTAATAATTTAAATCAAGCTTACATACACAATATTTCGGAACTATTTTACATTTAACGCTTATCATTCCTGGATTAATATAAATTGTAAACCAGTATCGACTGGATAAAATACCTTTTAAGACTATTAAGATCAAAACGATTCAGTAACGCGTGTCAACTTCAGTCTCCACATGTTCAGAGAATCGCATGGACTGAAGATTTCTGCTTATTAACCATGGCAACATCAATACACGAGACAGTCCTCATAGGAATATGTGATGGAGTTATTGACCAGAAGAAAAACACATCTTATTGCACGAACAAAACTGGAGATAGGCCGGTAAAGCAAACGTAATTTGAACATCTAACGTTACTCAGGGTTTGTGTCATGCAAACTAAAGTAAGCTAGCTTGACAGCTACTTCATTTTATTGTAGTTAATAACATTCCTCATGTAGACAATGTTTTTGACAAGTACGCTGATTTAATCAGATTTGTGTGTTTGCCTAAGTGAACATTAAAATATTAGATTTCTAAAAGTGTTTAAAAGTAGGCTATCGCTAGCCAGTTGGCTAACTTGGGGGCTAAACATACTAACTCGCACATGTAAGATTAATCTCTGTTATTACAAACTACTTAAATTTATTTATGATGTATTGTACAATGATGTTATTTGAAAATTTTGCACTGTTGTAATGAAATATCTGTATATGTATTTCTAAATACTATAATCGCTATAGTCAGAGTCCCCGTATGTTCACATGAAACCAATGGGCCAGTGGCGCAATGGATAACGCGTCTGACTACGGATCAGAAGATTCTAGGTTCGACTCCTGGCTGGCTCGGTTCTTTTGAATTTTGAGTTAGTTTGATTTGTTCCATTATTCAGGTTAATAATTTGCTCGCGAGTCAATTTTTTTTTCTCAAACTTGCATGAGGACAAGAAGGAAATACATAATATAAATATAAAATCGATATATAAACAAGTATCAGTTAATCAATTAAAAAAAGTTATAGTTTGTGCATTTCTCAATACATTTTATTGAAATATATAACATCGAATTGCAACATAATACAAAGCATTCTGTGCTATTTTCATTTTGTGAATACAATACATGGCTAAGGTAATCAATAGTTTTTAGAATATTTTTCTTATGTGTAGACTTAGGAATGAAACTAGATATCATATATTTCTAAATATGCGAAAGTAGTGCAGAATGTGCATTTAATAAAATATTTGTGCACAGCATCTAAAATAAATTATATAAAATAATTTATGGTAATTATATCTGTATGGTTTTGTCAAGGGAAGATGTTTAAACCTGGAGGCTTTACGTATTATACTAAATTATATCCTATTAGCTAAACAGACATATATATGTATTTATATTTATATATATATAACAATATATGTATTTAATTTACCTGAATGTCATTTGTAATAATTTAAACCAATCTTACAGGTGTATAACATTACTGTTAAAATGTTTTACATCAAACACAGATAATTTGTGATTGTCTATTGAATATAGACCACTGTCGACTTGACAAAGAATGCACATTTTAAGCCTATTAAGGTCAAAACAATTTAATAATTGGCAGTTTTAATCACCACATGTTCAGAGAAGCACATTGACAGACAAAAAAAATTTAATGTAGTAAAATAATGTTTTATAGTTTTAAAGAGTATTTAAAATCTATGCAAATATATATATATATACATACATACATGTAACGTTTTTAATCTGTATTATTGTCTATTGTTATTATACACTGTATTTTTATTTTGTATTATGAACCATGTTGTAGCATTTTGAGTATGAGAAAGGCATTACAAATATCATTTTATACTTTTTTTTTTATTTTTATGTATTTTTAGAATTTATAGAATTTTCATCATTACAGGACCTGCTTCCAGTAATCACTCTCCAGTACCCCACATGTGCTCTGTGTCAGAGAGGCCTGTCCCAAGTGGTGCAGATCTACTGCCCTCTTGCGGCGTCTCGTTACCACAGAACCATCAATGTATTCGCCTGCACCAACCCACAGTGCTATGGCAAATCAGAGAGGTACAGCTTGTCATTTTAGATTAATGCATTATTCATATATCAATTGTGTTCCGCTTCCATATCTATTCCTTAAAACCTTTCATTTTCGGACAATCTGACCATGTCTCCTGTATATATACACCTAGCTGGATTGTCCTGCGCTCGCAGTGCTTGGATGATGGCATCAAATCAAGACAAAACAACAACACCACAGCATGTACAGAATCTGCAATGTCCAGAACAGACTGGTGTGATGAAGCTGATGACTGGGGGATGGACGATGAAGAGCAAGTGGCAGAAAGCAGCGTACAAATGCCAAATGACAGTACAGGTGAAGGAAATTATGTCAGCAGCAGGCTTCAGGACCTGTGCATTGATGGAGATCATCAAAGTGCCCTCCAACCCACCGATGTGCCTGTTTTCCAGCCGTTCTACATAAGCGTTATGGAGGAAACAGACTTGGATGGATTTCATGATACGGATCATGAAAACGAACTGCTTAGAGCGTATGAGGAGAGGGAGGGAGTGATTGTCAGGGAGATTCAGAGGTGAGGATGGATTCTACTACAGAGACTACAGTGAATCTCTGAAGGATGCTATGTTGTATGGATGAATGTATTGTGTAAATGTCTATTAGACATCTAACACCTCAGTTTCTATACTTTTTTCAGTTGTGAAAGTGGGGAAGCTCAGGAGCAATATGAGAAGGCCACGGCCAAACATGGAGATGAAGTGTTCACCAGTTTCATGAAGAAAATCTCTTTTTGTCCTGAACAAGTGTTACGGTGATTGAATTTGCAACAACTATTTAAAAATCCAATCGGGAAAGCTTTGTGTGTTTAATTTTTTTAATGTATTCTAGCTAGTTGCCAGATCAACATTTAAAGGGATAGTTCACCCCAAAATGACAATTCTGTCATTAAGTACTCACCCTCATGTCGTTTCAAACCCGTGATACCTTCGTTCATCTTCAGAACACAAATTAAGATATTTTTGATGAAATCTGAGAGCTCTCTGACACTATAGACAGCAACGCAACTGAAATGTTCCCAGACCCAGAAACGTAGTAAGGACATCGATAAAACAGTCCATGTGACATCAGTGGCTCAACTTCAATTTTGCGAAGCTACGAGAAAACTTTTTGAGCGCAAAGAAAACAAAAATAACATAATTTATTCAACAATTCTTCTCCCCCGAGTTGCGTCTTCCGCCATTTTGGAGAGTACCCAAGAGCGTAATCGACATAATCAGCGTTGTTTACGTTCGGGGGAGAAAGCACGCACATAAACGTAATCTGCGTAATCAGCGTTGTTTATGCTTAGGGGAAAGCGTGTGTATGTGTTGTGATACTCTAAAATGGCGGAAGACGTAACTCGGGGGGGAAAAGAATTGTTGAATAAATTATGTTATTTTTGTTTTCTTTGCGCTCAAAAAGTATTCTCGTAGCTTGATAAACTGAAGTTGAGCCACTGATGTCACATGGATTATTTTACAGATCTCCTTACTACGTTTCTGGACCTGGGAACATTTCAGTTGCATTGCTGTCTATGCAGGGTCTGAGAGCTCTCACATTTCATCAAAAATATCTTAATTTGTGTTCCGAAGATGAACGAAGGTTTTTGGGTGAACTAACCCTTTAAAAAAAATAAAAAAGTAGTAGAAATGACAAAACCACACAATAAAAAAATTGCAAAAACTTTAAAATTAAAATCAAAACAATATATAAAAACCTAATTTAAAATAATAACAAAAACACAATAGTATATCAGTGATACTAAATAACACCAGTGTTTACTACTGCAGCAATGAACTCAACACAAGCTGAGTTGTCTGATTCGCCAACAAATGACTCTTACGAACTGTTCCTTTAAAGGAGTCGGTTAAAAGATTCACAAAACCATTCAAAAAAGTAATTTATGAGTCAGCTTTATGAATCAAACTACCTCTGTTAAGTAATCACTTCCACAGTTCACAGACTCCTTTAATGAATCGTCAGTAATTTATCATTTACTGTATGTTTGATTCTTAAAGGGATAGTTCACCCAAAAATGAAAATTCTGTCATTAATTACTCACCCTCATGTCGTTCTAAATCCGTAAGACCTTCGTTCATCTTCGGAACACAAGTTAAGATATTTTTGATGAATTCTGAGAGCTGTCTGACCCTGCCATAGACAGCAATGTAATTACCCCGATCAAGGTCCAGAAACGTAGATCGGTAAAATAATCAATGTGACATCAGTGGTTCAACCGTAAGTTTATCAAGCTACGAGAATACTTTTTGTGTGCAAAGAAAACAAAAATAACGACTTTATTCAACAATTTGTCTCCCTGGTGCCATTTTGGAGAGTATCCACTGAACGTAAACAGTGTATGATGTTCTGTGTCAGCTGCGTCACGCGGATACGTTTTCCACGTTGTTTACGTTTTGATTTTAACGAAAACAACATATCCGCGTGACGCAGCTGACACAGAATAGCATACGCTGTTTACGTTCAGTGGATACTCTCCAAAATGGTGCTATAGGGTGATGCAGAGGAGACAAATTGTTGAATAAAGTCGTTATTTTTGTTTTCTTTGCGTACAAAAAGTATTCTCGTAGCTTGATAAACTTACGGTTGAACCCCTGATGTCACATGGATTCTTTTACCGATCTACGTTTCTGGACCTTGATCGTGAATCTCATAGCTTCATAAAATTACGGTTGAACCACTGATGTCACATGGATTCTTTTACCGATCTACGTTTCTGGACCGTGATCGGGGTAATTACATTGCTGTCTATGGCAGGGTCAGACAGCTCTCAGAATTCATCAAAAATATCTTAACTTGTGTTCCGAAGATGAACGAAGGTCTTACGGATTTGGAACGACATGAGGGTGAGTAATTAATGACAGAATTTACATTTTTGGGTGAACTAACCCTTTAATGAATCAGGAACCATTACTGTACGTTCAGTTCATGAGATTAAAAATCATGAATGAGCAAAAAAAAAAACACATTGGGAGCATCATCATTTTTTTCTGGAGCCCTGGACTATTAAAAGGGGCCATTTACACAGAACACTTGTTTGCATTTAAAAACGCCAGATGCAGGGCACTGGATTGAAAAATGACGCAAGGTCTAGAGATGCGTTTTTTAAATGATCAGTGTCAGACGCAAGTGCAGCTGTCAAACACGAGGTGCGAGGTGGTGATTTCATATGAATTTGTATGATGTAATGTATGATTTTTACAAAAAAGTAAGCTGGAAAGTCCATCCCGAAACATAGCCATCATAAACCGTTTGTTGTATTATTCACCCAATCATTTCATTATTTACTCATGTTTTAATCTAATGTGTTACCTCTCACCTTATAGATACAGTTGGGCTGGATCACCTCTATTTATAACAGAGCCTCCTTCCAGTGTTAGTCAGACGGTGCCGTGCTGCGCTCACTGCGGCAGCCCGAGAGTTTTCGAATTTCAGCTCATGCCAGCATTGGTCAGTTTGCTCAGTAGTGCGGACACAAATTCAGGTAAGTACAGATGTTCTAAAATATACGTCATACCAATTATTTATTTATTACAAATATATTTCCACATAAAAATGTGGGAAGAATTGGAACTCAAAGCAATATTTCATCTCCATTTACTGATTTATTATGGTAAGCAGTTGTAAAATATTGTGCAATGTACAATTATTAATAATTATCTCAAAATAACCCTCTGATCCTGCATCGTGTCAGGATATATTTTGTGATAATGAAAGGCTGACTACATTATATCTTACTTATTATATTTATTTTAATGTTAATAGTAAACTATTTGTTTTGTTTTCTCAGACATTTCGCTGGAGTTCGGAACAGTTCTTGTGTACACTTGCAGAAACAGCTGTTGGGAATCTGGATCAACAGTTCCAGTGGAAGAATTTCTTGTTGTCCAGCCCGACCCAGACCAAAAGCTCTTCAAATGATATAATTTATCAACAATAAAGAACATTTTTTCAGTACAACTTCATTTTGTTATTTATGTAATACTAGTTATTATTTAATATAATGTTTTATTTATTATCTAAAGGAGTATAACCATTTTAATTAGATGAAAATGTACTCACCCTCATCCAAGATGTAGATGAGTTTGTTTCTTCATCTGAGAAATGTAGCATTACTTCACTTGTTCAGCAATGGATGCTCTGCAGTGAATGGGTGCCGTCAGAATGAGAGTCCAAACAGCTGATAAAAACATCACAATAATCCACAAGTAATCCACACCACTCCAGTCCATCAGTTAATGTCTTGTGAAGCCAAAAACTGCATGTTTGTAAGAAACATCTTGGATGCTCTGAGGGTGAGTACATTTCAAGCTAATTTTAAGTTTTGAGTGAACTTTTCCTTTAAGTTTGCAGGGATCTGAGAAAACTTAATTCTGAAATTATCTGTCAGCAATCTAATTGGAAATATTCTGTTCTGAATGATTACCATATTCATGCACAAAGACGAAGATGGATAAATGTGTATATATGCTTTGAATGAAAGTAAAAACTACGGCAAGACATTGTTATGAATGAACATATATGACGTACTTAACGATATTAAATGGGTATTTGCTTTGTACATGTGCAAAAAGTCACGGTACATGTACAGTGGTGGCCAAAATTATTAGAACACTAGTATTTTCAGCAGCTAAAAATGGTTTTAAGTCAATTATTCCTATCTTTTGCTGTAGAGTGTCAGTAGGAAATAGCAGTTTACATTTCCAAACAATCATTTTGCCATTAATTGTAATAATCCAGTGAGATTTTTGTTTGCTCCACACAGAGATCTGATCTGATCATCATCAGTCTGTTTGGAATGATATGAAGAAACAGAACAAACTGAGAAAGCAGCTTTTGCCCTAAGTGCACTAGCGCATAGTTTTTCAGGTAGCTTTGCAGGTGGGTCTCTTGAAGCATCTTGGAGACGTTGCCACAGTTCTTCTGGATTGAGTCTGTCTCAGTTTGTTCTGTTTCTTCATGTAATCTCAGACAGACTGGATGATGATCAGATCAGATCTCTGTGTGAAGCACTGGCTGCTGTCAAGACAAAAATCTCACTGGATTATTACAATGGCAAAATGATTGTTTGGACATGTAAGCTGATATTTCCTACTGACACTCTACAGCAAAAGATAGGAATAACTGACTTAAAACCATTTTTAGCTGCTGAAAATACTAGTGTTCTAATAAATTTGGCCGCCACTGTAAATAACACGGTTTTGTCGATTTCTCTCAGAATATTTACATAATTTTCGCGCAAATTCCCATGCACAAAAAAAGCTAAAGATAGAGAGAGATAGAGAGAGAGAGAGAGAGAGCGAGATAATAAACTTTAAAACACTCTTTCTCGATCGTTTCGCTCAGGTTGGTTCTTCCTCGAACAGCTGCGCGAGGACTGAACACTCCGCACTCTGTGCGCATGCGCAGTGAGAGCAGCGAGCGGCGCTCAATGCTGAATGCTCAGGCTTTCTCTCGCGAGGAAGGACGCCATTATCGGAATCCTCACAAACAACACGAGAATTCATCGTTCACACGGTAATATAAACCCTTCTGACATGCGACACCTCCCGCTCTCCGCGCGCTGCAGAAATATGGCGCTCTGCGTTAAAGAAATACACTTTATACTGCTGTTTTCGTCTCAACTGTGTCTTGCGTGCCATGAAGGGCACAAATGAGGCCTATTGCATTTCCCTGCTGCTGTTTTGAGCTGTTGGTTAGCAGGCGCCAGCTAACAGGCTACATTAGCAAGCTAGCTGCAGTTTGCTAACTGGACTGAAGCACTGGGTTTATTATTAAACTCTTACAAGATTGGCGGCGTTTAAAGAGTGTTTTGTGTTTTCTGAAACCGGGAAGCGTCGGTATTTTTTGGATTGTCCAAACATTGAGTGCTTAATAGAGTTGAACGAAATTAAGTCTTGAAACCTAACGTTAGTTATAATCTCACTCCGCAGCAGCACTTCATATTCACTTAGAAACATGCATGTCCTTCTTAAAAGTACCACTTTATGGATATATTTTAGGGCATGTACTATGGTAATAGTACCGTAATAATACCGAAATTTTTTCCATACCTTGGTGAACTGTGTAAATATTATTTAAGATTGAAATCTTGTGTTTTGGGTCTTACAAGGGTAAATAAATAACTGGCGCCGGTTGCAGACTGGTCATAACTTTTTATATTCAGTTATGAAAAGGTAGACTGGTCTTATTTGTATTGGAAAAGTAAGACTTTTAACCACTTGGCAGCTGCTAGTAAGTGTTGTATAGTGTTTTCTTTACTCTTTACTAAACTATCTAATTTTATGTATTTGAGGTCTGAGATGTGGGAACAGGGAAGAGAGAGAGAGGGCAAACATTTTGCATTTTAGGTCTAATCAGTCAGTATTGTCTTAAATAGCCTGCATAGCACTTCATCTTTTATAACATGGGTTTTTGACCAAATAAGTTATATTCAATCTTGATTTTTGTCAAATGTTGCAACAAGAAGTTTTTTGTGTGTGTGAAAAATTACAGTTTTGGACATATAAGGTAATAAAAATATTTAAAAAAATATCTTAACGTAACTACAATTGAGCATGTAAAACAAATATCTTTTAAAAAAAGTTCCATGTGGAGCATGCCCCCGGTTCTCCCCTTTCCCCCCCCTTACCTGTTTGCATACCTCCTGTTTGTTAAAAAAAAAAAAAGCCAATAATTATAAAAGAAAAAGAAAATCCATTCCATTATGAAACCAAATGTGTACCAGGCACTAATTTGTGATATTTAATTAATATAATAATGGTTGTAACAATTTAATAAATAATTATTCTTAAATAGTGTATTTTTAAATTTGAGTTATTTCAATTTAATATGTATTATATATTTTTTCCAGTTTATCTTCAAAAAAAATTGCAATTCATTTTATTTGTGATGGACAAAATAATGGACAAAAGAAGTGTAGGGTCACCTTCAGTACCACATCCTCCCTTCAGGGGCTTTTTTGTTTGGCAAGGACACAACGGTGCCTGCATGTCAAAATCACACATTTACCTTGTGGTGGCTTATAATATAAATATTACAATATTTAAAACACTTTCCATGAAAATGAAGGAAATGAATGAAAATTGTTAATCCTTTCCAAAATAATGAAAAGAAAAGAAAAAATAGCAAATCATTCATATAACATTGATATCAGTGTTAATTTAATCATTGAGATATCATTAATTTATATGTGAACCTAGACCACAAAACCAGTCATAAGGGTCAATTTTTTGAAATTGAGATTTGTACATCATCTGAAAGCTGAATAAATAAGCTTTCCATTGATGTATGGTTTATTAGGATAGGACAATATTTGGCCGAGATACAACTATTTGAAAATCTGGAATCTGAGGGTGCAAAAAAAATCAAAATATTGATAAAATCGCCTTTAAAGTTGTTCAAATGAAGTTCTTAGCAATGCATATTACTAATCAAAAATTAAGATTTGATATATTTACAATAGGAAATTTACAAAATATCTTCATGGAACAAGATCTTTACTTAATATAGGGAAAAAGTATTGCACGCGAGTGCTTTGTAAACATCCTTAAATATACAAAGCATCATGAAGCTTTGCGATGCAGTAACAGTCAGATCCAAAACATCTGCTTCATCTTTCAACAGCAGTTTCTTTGTGAATGGATTACAAAACACTGGTGCAATCCTCGACGAGTGAAAAATTTAAGGGGGTCTGAATACTTTCCGTACCCACTGTATATATAATACACACACACACACACACACACAAAGAAAAACAAGTAGATAGAATAGAAAAAATAGAAAGCTAGTTGTTGTTGTTTTTTTTTTTTTATAAAAATAAAAAAGAAGATAAAGTAGAATTAAAATAGAATAGAACGTGTTAGAGTGAGAGGGTCAAATAAAGGTGGAACAGATGTGTTTTTAGTCGTTTCTTGAAGATGGTTAAGGACTCAGCTGCTCGGATTGATTTGGGCAGGTCATTCCACCAGGAGGGAACAGTTAATGAAAAAGTCAGTGAAAGTGATTTTGTGCTTCTTTGAGATGGCACAATAATACGCCATTCACTTGCAGAACGCAAGCTTCTAGAGGGAACATAAGTTTGAAGTAATGAATTTAGGTAAATGGGAGCCAGTGGTGGTTTTGTAGGCAAACATTAATGCCTTGAATTTAATGCGAGCAGCTGCTGGTAGCCAGTGCAAATTGATGAACAGAGGTGTGACATGCGTTCTTTTCGGCTCATTAAAAATTTATCTTGCAGTGGCATTTTGGATTAATTGTAGAGGTTTGATAGAAGTGGCTGGAAGACCTGCCAAGAGAGCATTGCAATAGTCCAGCCTGGACAGAACAAGAGCTTGAACAAGGAGTTGTGTTGCATGTTCTGAAAGAAAGGGCCGGATCTTCTGATCTGTTTTGAGTAATGGAAATGTTTTCTTTTTATGGTTTTAGTTGACTGTAATAACCCTGATTGATACGACACAAGCAGTGATTTATCAGTGACATCTTTCTCAGACGCAGGTTTGAATGATGGCAGAGCAAGATTTGGTGGAGATCGTCCAGATCGCAGTGGCAGATTTGAATCATGAAGGACATCAAACAGGTGAGTACTCCTCTGAATCAGTAAAAAACTGCAGGTAGTGTTTGAGATTTTCTACAGTGTTTTTTTTTTTCCATTAAACTAGATGTCCTGGAGAATAATGAAGACGCTGATCCACCAGGCAGGAAACGAGCAAGGCTGGACATTAGCCAAGAAACCTCTATTAAGGTTATTAGAGATGATCTGTTAATCTGGTACAGAATATAAGTGGCTTGTATCAGCGAGGACGTTGGCTATAATCATGTTTTATTGCTGTGTTTCTCTCTCAGTCGATGCTGGTGTCCATCAGTCAGGCTGTCTGCCAGCGGCTGGACAGCATGGAGGCCAAGCTGCAGGTGCTTGAGGCCACCTGTCGAGGTTTAGTCGAGAAGCTGGACACAGTGATGGGGAAAAACCAGTCGACCATCCAGGTCCCCATGGTGTCAGGCTCCCCGTTTGGAGCCACTCAGACCTGCGACAAAGTACGCTGGTAAGTGGACCACAGATGATGGCCGGATGTTTTATTCGACAGCGCCTGGGCTTGTTTTGTCTTTTACTGAAGATGCTTCACCATTAATTCAAACCTGATCACAGCATCTTGAGATTGATTTTACATACTGATGAATTCACTTTATGGTAAATTATCTTTGAAAAAGTGGAAAATCATGTCCAGTTGGTCTTTATTTGGGAATATTTGAAGATCTGCATGACTGCAAACTTTCATATAGACTTGTCAACTAACATCACCTTCCCATGAGCCACCGACACCATTTAAAACAAGAGCACGTGTTTTATTTAGCTGTGCTTCTCATCTGATTCTGGACCTAGACTGTAAAAATTAGTTATCGTGTAGAAATAATCAAAATGATTATTGTATTAATATTTATGAATATTAACAATGAATTAATACATATATTTTTTGGGGGGCGTATTTATTAATTTTAAGGCCTAAAATATTTTTTGATAAACATTTAGTAAATATTTTTAATATTCATTATTTATTTATGATTAAATATATACAGTGGTGTGAAAAAGGTGTTGGCCCCCTTCCTGATTTCTTATTTTTGTGCATGTTTGTCACACTTTAATGTTTCAGATCATCAAACAAATTTAAATATTAGTCAAAGATAACACAAGTGAACACAACATGCATTTTTTAAATGAAGGTTTTTATTATTAAGGGAAAACCAAATTCAAAACTACATGGCCCTGTGTGAAGAAGTGTTTGCCCCCTAAACCTAATAACTGGTTGGGCCACCCTTAGCAGCAACAATTGCAATCAAGCGTTTGCGACAACTTGCAATGAGTCTGTTACAGCGCTGCGGAGGAATTTTGGTCCACCCATCTATGCCGAATTATGTAGTTTTGGGTTTTGTTTTCCCTTAATAATAAAAACCTTAATTTAAAAACTGCATGTTGTGTTTACTTGTGCTATCTTTGACTAATATTTAAATTTGTTTGATGATCTGAAACATTAAAGTGTGACAAACATGCAAAAAAATAAGAAATCAGGAAGGGGGCCAACACTTTTTCACACCACTGCATATATATTAAAAAAAAAAAATTTCCCCCTAATCATTCTTTTTTTATCTTGTGGGGGTTTAAAATATACAATATTACACTTTTCTTGGAAATGGAATGATTCTTTGAAAATGTTTACAAAATAATCATGGCAAATTAGAAAAAGTTATAGGATAAAATAAAAGTTAAGTCTCAATATCAAATGAGAATGCTGTGAATTTATGCCACTATTATGCCTTTAACATCAACAACAAAAGTTATGGGAAGTTTTTTCTACTCCTTATCGAAGTTAATAAGCAAATAAATTTTTCCGTCCTAACTATACGCAGTTATATGGTGCATTTTATTATGCAATTTTATTATTTATTATTAGATGTTTAGTCCGATACTGATCAAAAAAAACTGATAATTTCTTTCTTATTATGCTGGACACTCAAAAGCTGGCTGGTATTAAAATTCAATACTATTTTGTCTAAATAAATAAAAAAATTAAAACTAAAATCCTCTTAAATTCTGTGAATGAATTTAGGAATCGTAACAATCATTATTTTGAGATTTGCATTTAACAGTGTTACTAAATTATTATTAGTAGTAGTATTTTTATTATGTTTTTGTAAGCTTGACTTTGAGTGTTGGATGATGATAAAAGTAATCTAAAGTAAATTATCTGCACAATTAAATATTTAATAAATATTAAAGCTATGGTATCGGTATATATTGAGCATCTATTTATTATTATTAGAAAAGGCTTTTTTGTGTTGCGACCCACCATTTGAGAACCAGCAGTGATATTGGCAGTGTGAGACAGTAACAGTGAGTGTTTTCTGTCAGTGTTGTTCCTCATACAAATGTTATAGTGAGTGGAGACCGGCCGAAGACGCGGGAGGAAACTTCACCGCGTGCCTCAGACTCTTTAGAGAACCTGCTCAGCAAGTGAGTGCCACAGACTGTGCTTTTGTGCATTAAAGAATAAAAATATCCCCTGTGTTTGCATGGTGTATTTACCGTATTGACCCGAATATAAGACGATGTTTTTTTCTTGGAAATACATCTGAAAAAACGCGGTCGTCTTATATTCAGGGTCTAGACTTTGACATGTCAATAATACACCCACAACAATAGGTGGCGCCAAATACGCATAAAACGAGTGTGCCATGAAATACAAATAGGAAAAATATGCAATATGAAAATAATTGAAGACAAACTGTGTTTTACTGAGAAAAAAAACAAGATTTGGTTTTTAAAAAGCCTTTTTCCAAAAGGTACATCTGGAAAAAGGGGGGTCGTCTTATAATCTGGGTCGTTTTATATTCGGGCCAATACGGTAAATATATACAGGAGACAGTTTCTGGATCTGTTGCACAAGCTCTCCATAACATCTCTCGGTGTAATTTATGTTATGTTTTCTTTGCAGTACTGTTGGGCGAGGAAGACAGAAGACGATATTGCTGAAGGTTCCCATCCAGGAAGAGGTTCAGGAGGATCAGGAAAGCGGCTCTGAAACGAGCGATTCGGTGTCCAACAGCGGCCAGCCTTTATCTCAGAATACCAACAACGTAACACTCATCACTCTCAACTCAGAGGGTAAGATTCACAAGAGGATTATGCTTTGTCTTAAAATTTCCCTGATGATAATTACAGTCACATATGTATTTATTTGTGCACAAAAATCCCTTTAATACAGCAAGCTTTGATAGGACATAAAGGACCTTTTTTAACATAGTCAATGGACCCTTGTCACATTTCCGGTTCTCAGAAGCATAAGCGTTTCCATTTGCTCTAATAGCAATAAATAAATAAATCCAAGATATTTATGTATGATAATTGATATTTACATTTATTGATATTCACATTTGCAACGGGCAGCTCAAACAAGACCAAGTCCTATCTAAATGAATGAGGGAATCCTGAAATCTCAAAAACTGCTCGCTGAACTCTCGATTAAATTACTTATTTCAAATCAGCAACAAAATCTGAAATTAACTGCCCCATGAATGTTGCTTCTTATGCTCAAATAGCGTTTAAAAAGCTTATTTTTCAGGCTAGACCAGCCAGTGCGCATACGTAGTTATAACGCGCTTATATCATTGGCTGCTCTAGCACATAGACTGTACAAAAACATGGACGTAGTGTCCGTGACGTCGCCCGTAGTTTTCTGAAGAGCGTTTTTGAAGCTCAAAGTGGGCGGAGCCGGCCGTCGCCATCCTGGCAGCGCGTCACTCCCGGATAATCGAAAATGGGCAAAGAGGCGGGAGCAGGTTGCTGAAACCATGCCCACCTAGCTCGACGGTGGAGACAGCAGTGGCAATCCACCTGTCACTCAAGTGGCCACGCCCTTAATTATGCAGAACTTTAAGGCTTAATATAATTTAAACGGATGAGTTATAAAAAAATTCACCCCCCTCACAGTTGTCATGAAGGGCAAAATTAGCTATATAGACCAAAATCATTTTTTGAACCAGGCTGTAAACATGTTTTTTTCTGCTGTAAAGTTAGGCATTTTAACATGGGGAGTCTATGGGATTGACTCCCTTTTGCAGCCAGCCTCTAGCGGCCAGTTGACGAATTCTCACAGTTTAAAGGGTTAGTTCACCCAACAATGAAAATTAGCCCATAAATTACTCACCCTCAAGTTTGTTTTGTTTTAAGTCACTTCCATGTTGGCTTCACGAGAGAGAGCGGGAGTTTGCCGCTTGCTCTAGCCTCTGGTTTCTATGGGAACTGGAGCTTCTAACGACTGCTGCAGTGACACAGTGACTTTACCAATCAGCGATTGGCTCTTTCATTTAGAAGGCGGGACTATCCCGCCATATTGTGCCTTGCAGTTTCTCCCATTCATAAGTATAGGAGTGAACTGTCTTTGTATTTCTATAGTCTTTGTCCATACGTTCTTGAAGGTGTCATCAGGGGCGGGACATTGTCAGTACAGAGAGAATCTGATTGGACGAAAATCATTGGGCTGCAGAATAAGCCAGCATCAACATTATCAGTCTGTTTTCCAGAAGACAAAGACAGTAAATTTAACCTCTACTAAAAGCTAATTTTGTCAATGTTTAGAAGTAGACTAGCATATACATTTCCCCAAAGCTAAGAACTAAAAGCCACAAAAAATTCCAATTTTGATTTTATGGCGACTTTAAAGGATATAATTTTTATAAGCTGGTGGGAAACCATTTGTTTTGAGTTTAGCACAAACATGGCCTCACAAGAAGAGCAACAAATTTGAACAATTATTGAAAAGGTTTGAAGACATGGAAATCTTTGAAATGCATCTGCACAAATAAGATAATAGCATGTTTATGGCTCGCATGTGTTTTGTCTCTGTGGTTGGTTAACATTTAAACCTTGAAATCTTAGAAGTGTGAACAGAGAACAATAGGCTTTGGTTAGTGAAATCAAAGTGTGCTCAACTATTATTGAGTAATAATATAAACATGTTTTGACTATCCGCTATTACTCCCTGGACACTTTAAACAAAGCTTGTTACACCAGAAGCCCATGCGTGTTGTGTAAACGTCTGGCCGTCTGTGATTCAGGATGGTCTATTTGGTCTGGAAGAGGTCTGGGATTAAAGGGTTTGTTTTGATTGCTTAACTTCTGCTTTTGCTTTTCTTATTATTTGACTGGGTTGTTTTGGAGTGGCGTCTGGGTTAGCTTGGTTAGTTCAAAGACGTTCCTCCGCAAATATTCACTCGTTCGCAGCTGTTCGTGATGATATTTAGTCAACGAATGGTACATTTGGTTCCTTAAAGGCTATGCTTTTGTTTGTTTGTGTTGTTTTCCCCTTGCTTTAACCTCATCTATTGTTTTGATGTAGAGGAGTGGGGTAAAATGTGTCATCCCTTTAATCTAGCAAACTGTGCTACATTTTTGTCATGTGACCCTCTATTTAAAGAGTGGCATCTTATACAGTTGCTTGTAATTGAGAGATTCACTCTTTTTGCATGACAATTTTTTACATTTTTTTGTATTTTATTTTATTTTTTTATTTTTTTACAAAATGTCGAAAATTGTTTTGCTACATACAAATAATCTATATATATATATATAAATATATAAACAAATAATCTATATCCATATATAAATTTTTCTCATAATTGTTATGTATAAGTTTCCATATATTTTTACGTTTTGCTAGAATTGTGTATTTTATAGAAAATTATATTATATGAAAAATTGTCTTTCTGTATTGAAATATTCTGAATTTTACATATTTTAATTACATATAAATGTGTTAATTATTTATTCATCAATTTATCAATTTTAAAATCATGATAATTTTTGTATTATATTATATTATATTGACAATTTTTGCTACATTAAAATGGTCTAAATGTGAAATTTTTCTGTCTGGTTTAAAAATATAAAGGAAAAAACTGAATTAATTTTGCTAGAAATTATATGCTAGAAAATTTAATATTATTATATCGCAAAAGACTCAAATGTAAGCGGTCCACATATTCCTCAGCTTACCTTTTGACCTGACACACTTTACTCCCTAACATCATTTTTACACGCCCGCTTTGACGAGACACAGAAACCCACGTCCGTGATAAACCCTAATAAACCCCGTCAAGCTATAGCCGAAGCAATGCTTGGGCACATACCACACAGACAAATATTTAACAGAAATGCCTATTTAAAACATTTCTGAGACAAATTATGCCAAAGTCACAATATTTGTCTTCACTCGTGATGAGAACACATTCCTGGATATGCAATATTTCCAGTCTTAGTTATGTGAAGAAGAAATGTGATGGACTCACTGTTGAACTTCAGTCATCATTTTCAGTCATGCCAGCATTTTTGGCTAAATCAAGAAAGCGTCTCTGGTCTAAACCAGTAATGCTCTTGTGAAGTGTTTGTTTGGTGACAAATAATGTCCAGCAGGGGACACTCTTGCATTTGCTCTGAGCTGAGAATTCAGGTCTTGTAACCTCAGCAGACATTGAGGGACTTGCTCTCGCCCCTCCACAGATATTTGAGATTACTAGTCGTCTAATATCGAAGACAATGGCTGATGCTTCACTTGTTCCCACAATCCTGAATATATATACCGTCACATATTTCGATGTTTCATTATATCTTGCACAGTGATTTGCTCTCTAGATCAGGGGTTTACAAACTTTTTGATGCCAAATATCAAATATGTTGCTCTTATGCAAAGGTGCACCTTCCTAAAATATAAAGGCAGCTAAATATTTTCATAAAGTGTAAAGAAATTTATACTGTGTGAGAAAAATGTTAAGAGTGAGAAATATTGTAAGGACAATATGGTTAAAAAAGTAAAATAATTGGCATGTATCTTCTCATTGCAAAAAGCAAATGTAAATTATTAAGAAATAATCCGGAAAATATTTGAATAAGTAATTAAATAATGTGTATCTTTTTCTTTTATCCATTAGCGGTGTTATTTTAGTATTATTTATGTACTATTATAGTATTCACTGTAGTATTTTTAACTGGCTTTTTAAAATATATATTTTTTAAATTTTAGTTCAAGTTTTAGAGATTTTGTTATGTGCTTTTGTCATTTCTATTAGTTTTAATTGAATATTTCTATTTAATTTGTTTAATTTATTTCAGCTTTAGTCATTTTTAGTAATTCAACGTAACATTTTTTTTTGTTATTCATGTAATATTTATATTTTTATATTTACATTTTGTATTTCTATCCATTTATTTTGTAATATAATATACCGTATTGTCCCGAATATAAGACGATATTTTTTTCTTGGAAATACATCTGAAAAAACGCGGTCGTCTTATATTCAGGGGTCTAGACTTTGACATGTCAATAATACACCCACAACAATAGGTGGCGCCAAATATAATCGTTGTCTTATAATGAGGATCGTCTTATATTCGGGCCAATATGGTAATATAGTATAATATAAATATAAATATATTTTGCAATGCAAAAAAAAAAAAAATCCATATCTTTTTTTTTTTTTTGAATTAATAAAAAAATGGACAAACCCAAATATTTCTCATATAATAGAAAGGGAAAAATAAAAAATAAATTCTGAATATTTGAATGTAGCAAAAATATTGTCAGTATTGTGTAATATAATGTACCACAATAGAATAGAATTTATTCTAGAAAATACACATTTCTAGCAAAAGTTTCTCTCTCTCTATATATATATATAAACATACAATAATATTATTATATAATAATATATATAATAATAATAATAACAACACTATTTAGTTGTAGTGTTATTTATATAAGTTGCTGAATTTGTCCGCACACTGAAAAAATTTTCCAATCAGACCAAAACATTTTATTTATGTTATTTATATTAAATATCCTCCCATCCTGTCAGACAGCTTCATAGTTACATAACTCTTTTAAATTACAGTGGTAAGGCACTTGTCAACTTGGAAAAACTGTACATTTGGAAAAATATTTCTGTAATTGCAGTTTATTTTTCTCCTCCTTCTGTAGAGGACTATCCGGCAGGAACGTGGCTGGGTGATGAGAACAACCCTGAGATGCGCGTGCGCTGTCCGGTATCTCCAGCAGACATGCTGCACATCAGCACCAACTGTCGCACGGCAGAGAAGATGGCGCTGACGCTGCTGGACTACCTGTTCCACCGCGAGGTGCAGGCCGTCTCCAACCTCTCCGGACAGGGGAAGCACGGCAAGAAACAGCTGGACCCACTCATGATCTACGGCATCCGATGTAAGTCTGAACAATACCAGCATCATTATGATTTACAGTATGTAAATCGCAGTTCTGATTCCTCAAAATGATTCTGATTCCTGGACGATTCAGTTAATGATTCTTTGTTTTTGTATGAGCAGCCAGTTAGTAACTACATTAATTTAAGTGCCTTACATACTGTGTGTAAGTTGTAATATATATGTGTTTGATTCGGTTTAAAGTACCGACTCAAAGAGTCAATCAAGAGAATCAGATTAAACTGATTTGAACTTTATGGAAAAAAAAATTGTATGGTAAAGAAAATGTATGGTTTTGATTCACTAAAAAGAAGTTCATAAAAGCCATTTGTTTGGGAATCTGGTTACACACGGTTTTGATTCACTAAAAGAATCAGCTCATGATAATTTTTTGTGCAGGAATTGAACCACACTTGTCAATGCTGTAAATTTTTTATTTAAAAGGGTCATATGATGCTGCTAAAAAGAACATTATTTTGTGTATTTGGTGTAATGAAATGTGTTTATGCGGTTTAAGGTTCAAAAAACATTATTTTCCACATACTGTACATTATTGTTTCTCCTCTATGCCCCGCCTTTCTGAAACTCGTCAATTTTTACAAAGCTCATCGGTCTGAAAAGCAAGGTGTGCTCTGATTGGCCAGCTATCCAATGCAAAAGTTACTCCTTCTTTCTTTGTGTGAACATTTGGGCGGTGTTATGCAAATCTTCCCAGATCGTGACGTAGGTATGTGGGGGCGTGTTAGAACGAGCCATTTTAGGTAGGCGTGGCTGACTCTTAACTTTTATAAAGAATATCTCTTTGGATTTGAGACTTTAGTCTTTGCAACTTTACAGATCTTCTTTATGCACCAAGAGCTTGTAACACTCCAAAGAGAAAGGAAAATTTTAAATCGCATCATATGACCCCTTTAATAAAAGAACTGACTCAGAAGAGTCATTCATTCAGGAATTAGACTATATTGATTGTGCTATGTGGTTTCGATTCAATAAAAAGAGCTGTCTCTAAGGAGTCATTCATTTGAGACTTGTATTACATTGATTGTGCATTAAGGTTTTGATTCACTACTGGCTTGTAAGATTAGGAATTGGACTGCATTGGTTGTGCTGTATGTTTCTGATTCACTAAAAAGAACCAGTTTCTAAGAGTCTTTTGTGCAGGAATCAAACCACATTTGTCACTCGGTAAGGTTTTGATTCATTAAAAGAACTGGCTTATAAGATTCATTTGTTTAGGAGTAGGACTGCACTGGTTGTGCTGTTTGTTTTTGATTCACTAAGAAGAACCGGCTCATAAGAGTCATTCATTCAATAATTGGGCTATACTGAATTTGGTTTTGACTTTATAAAAATAACTAACTCATAAGAACCATTCATTTGAGTATCATAATACACTGATTGCGCTGCATGGTTTTGATTCATTCAAAATAATCAGTTCATACAAAACATTTGTTTAGGAATCTGATTACACTGAATGTGCTGTAAAGTTTTGATTCACTTCAAGAACTGGCTCATAAACGTCCTTTGTTTAGGATTTGGACTACACTGGTTATTGATTCACTAAAAAGAACCAGTTCATAAGAGTAATTTGTTCCAGAATCAGACTGCACTGGTTTTGCAGTATGTTTTAAATACAATGAAAAGAATCAAACATAATTCGGTTCTTTTTTTCTTTTTTTTTAAATTACCAATTCTGAGGCCTATTTGTTCCCAGCCCTCTCTGTGGCAAATCAGATCTTTGATTGTTCAGTTTAGTTTAGCTATATGAGTCTGTTTAATTAATCTCAGTTCTGTCCTGTCTAATTCAAATCATTCAAGTAGCTCAGCTGCGGTTCTGCCTCATCCGGCATCAGACTTATTTTCCCCACATGAGCTAATTAGAAACGCTTCTAACCGCTCTCATTCACAACAACTCGCGTCATGCCAATATGTAGGTCAATTAGTGCAACCAGCCATAAGTAACATCGAGGAATGAGCAAGTGAGGGTAATTATGAATACAAGGAATGTTACATGCAGTTTTGCACGGACAAACCCCATTTGACAGTGGCTAACGTGAATGAACTCGACTCAATGATCTGTACCAGAGCCGTGTTTATTTCTGCTACAAAGTGCAACGAGTTTATTTGCTTGCAGCATAAATGTATGACTAAATATTACATCAGTGTTTCCTCCCTTATTTCCTGACTGATTTTATTATGCTTGCAATGTCTCTGTCCATGTGTAACCAGGTCACCTGTTCCACAAGTTCACAGTTACCGAATCCGACTGGTACCGCATCAAGCAGAGCATCGACTCCAAATGTCGCACGGCTTGGCGGCGGAAGCAGCGAGGACAGAGTTTGGCGGTTAAGAGTTTCTCACGACGAACCCCCGCCTCGCAAAGCAGCTCAGGTACGAACCCTTGCGTCCTTTCCCGCCAATTTTGTCTCTTGCGAAACCCTGTTTCTCTTTGATTTTGATGCTAAGTGTCTAGGCCGCAGCTGGTTTGTGTTCAATTAAACATAAACATATGCTGCGAGAGAGAACACGCAGTTGTCGTTCCATATGTTAGTTCACTATCGAATTAGCTATGTATATAACCTCACATCCATTCGCGCAAAAGTCATGTGTACGTTGCGCACACATGTTTATGTTTGTGTGCGAGAGAGAGACTCTGTGACTGATGTTTCTTCATCTAACAGCTGGTTTTAATCTCAGGACAACGCCTCACGTCCTGTCCCTTCCTCTCAGAGATCCGCAGGCCTTCACCTTTGACCCGTTTCGGACGAACCCAAATATCCTGTATTGGTCCGTCACAGTGGTCCACACACTTACGATTGCTTCACCTCCTTCAGTCCAGCTGGAATAGTCCGCCCTGCGTGGTAGATTAAACTATTAGCTTATGAACAAGCCACCTGGTGCTCGGCCTTCTTTCAAACCAGAGCGAGAGGAACATGTGGTCTGTTGCTAATGCAAGGAACAAAGTGTTTCCATCCGAGAACTAAAATATCTTATTTTTGATGCGTAGGCATGGAGAAAATAAGCCGCACACCCTGCCATAGCTTGCAAAATTCTGTATTTATTTTAAAAATATTTTAAAGCTGACGTAATTTTTAACTATGTTACTGTGTTCCATCAGTCTCAAATTAAATTCGGGAACAGAAAAACAGGAATCGTGTTGCTTAGATGTGTTAATTTTAAACGGCTGTGATTCAATTAATTAGACGCAACCACGGTATGTTTTAAAATTAAAAACAGTTAGCAATCAATCACCAAATAGCCCATATTTATGGCAACTTGCTAAGTGATAGTTTCGATCTACTGATGATGAATAATAATAATAATAATAATAATAATAATGCATTTTATTTAATGGCGCCTTTCAAAACACCCAAGGTCACCTCACACACCTCACAAGATAAAAATAAATACAAATCACTACACAATAAAAAAACACAACAAATGCTCCGCATATACAGATAAAGTGCAGTAAAAGACTCAATAAAACATTATAAGAAAGCCTGTATAAAAAGATATGTCTTAAGACGCGTTTTAAAAGTCAGCAGGCAATCGCTGTTGCGAATATCAGGGGGAAGGGAGTTCCATAGGCGGGGGGCAGCATAGCTAAAAGAATAATTCATATTTTGTGTAATTTATGGTGTTTAAGGGTGTGTTCACACTTGTCATGTTTGGTTCGATTAAAACGAACTCTGGTGCGATTGCTCTGTTAGTGCGGTTTGTTTGAGTAAGTGTGAACGCTGCCATCCGAACCCTGGTGCGCACCAAACAAGCGGACCGAGACTGCTTAAAAGATGGGTCTCGGTCCGCTTCCAAACAAACTCTGGTGCGGTTCGAATGAAATATGAACACAACACGGACCAAATACTTCTAAACGAACCAAAAACAGCAAGTAATGACGACGCTATGCGACATGATTTGATGAAGGGAACAAGCGGTGTATCCAAAACAAAATGAGCAGAGGGCAAACAGAGCAACGAGAAGGTAAACTGCCTTTTATGAACTTTTTGTGAGTTCGCAGGTGGTAAAAATAAAATTATATACGTGCAAAAATGGGCGCGCTTAGTCCAGCAGACGGCATTAGGTGTATTCGACTTAAAGCGCTTTAAGTCAAACACACCTTTTCCTGAGTTCCGTCATGATATAAACGTCATTCAACCCGACCAATCAGGTTATGAATGTATCACTATGCCTTTAGGTTTGGTATCTTTGGGTTCGCTGTCAAAAATGCCAGTGTGAACGCTAAGCGGGCCAGGACCAAATGTATCGTTTTCCTTTTTGGTCCGGACCAAATGAGCAAAACAAACCAAACTACAAGTGTGAACACGTCCTAAATCATACCTGTGAACTCACATTTTGGCCAGGTAAGTTTTGATGGCATTTTCTTTTCATATGACCTCCCTATAATGCCTGTAATAACGTAGTGTTTACTTAAAGTAACAGCTATGATTCTGCTGTTCCACAAGCGCCACCTTCTGGCAAAGAGTGAATTTGCATATTCACTTATATTCACATTTTATGCAGAACAGTGTAGTAAATGTTAACTGGTATACCAACAAGAAATTTTTTTTAAATTGGACATAATCATCAGGAAGCTAAAAAAAAAAAAAAAACACTTTAATGTGGGGTAGTGGGGCCTAAAGTAATGCTGTAGCCCAGGGTCCTCTGATTAACTTAAGGCCCCTTGTACAGATCATTTGATATTTTGAATATCTAATAAGCAGCAATATTTTGCTCAGACAACAGTTTTTGTTAGCACATATTTTGAATATCTAATAAGCAGCAATATTTTGCTCAGACAACAGTTTTTGTTAGCACATATTCGCATACAATACCACTTTGCCTCCTGCCAGCTCTGATCTGTCCTATCATATCAAAGGCGAAAATGAAGTCTTAAAGTTAATAAATGCCGTCGTTTTGGTCAAACAACCATTTTTGTTTGCTTATATTAAATCAAGAACTTAAAATTCTGTATATTTTATATTTCATGTTTTTATCAGACCTTTGTTCGCAACACATTACCTTACCAAGTTTGCAAACATGGTTGCTGACTGTTAGATAATGATTCTGAATGTGAACTAACTGGTAGAACATGAAATCAAAAAACTTCTTCATATTTAACAATAAGTAGCAACATTTTGGTCAAATATTCGTTTGCCTGTGTTACCATACCATGTCTTTAAGCTAACCGCTAGACTGTGGATCCTTTTATGGACATTTTGAACATTTAATAAGCAGAGACTTTGGTTTGTTTTCACACTTTACCATGACATGCTAACCACATGTGCTAGAAAAAGTTTTGAAAACCTTCTCTATTGAAATGGTCAGTTGACCAAAAAAAAGGCTACTTATTAAATAATATGTAGGCACTTTTTGGTGAAATGGCCATATTTGTTTGCATATGTTACTGTGTTTTCAGCATGTGTGCTAACCACGAGGCCATGGATCTGACAAAATATTATATTTGAATAAGCAGCAATCTTTTGGTCAAATGACCATTTTTGTTGCAAAAATTCCTTAACCATATTTTAAAACATGGTTGCTAACAGCTACAACATGAATTTGAGAAACATCTCTGTATTTAAATTAGAAGCTGTGATTTGGTCAAACTACCATTTTCGTTGGCGGACATTACAATGTGACACTTCTAAGCATGTATGCTAACCTTTATATCTTGGATCTGACAAAATTTTGTATACTTATTTAAACTCTGACACATCTGTCAAACGACTAGCTGCATACACTTTACCATGTTTTTGATTTTCACTGTAGAATTAGCAAAGCTCTTTTATTCCATTCAACCAAATTCAGAATGTTTTAAGTTGAAGCATTTTCATCAAACAACCATTTTCAGATACTTTATCATTCTGTGTTTTAGATTATGATTGTATAATTATCAAAAATGTTTTATTTAAAAACATTTGGTAACTTTACCATACCTTTGTTTGTTAGCATGTGTGCTAACTGCCAGGTCACAAATCCAACAAAATTTAGTATGTTTAGTAAGCTGCAGCATTTTCATCAAACAACTATCCTCAGACACATTATCATGCTGTGATTTAATTGTCATCATAGAATCATAAAATACAGTTGTTTTTGTTTTATACGGGTATTGCTAAACCAATAGCAGCCAAGAAGCGAAAGCTAGCAAGCTGAAGGACAAATTGGTCTGGAGATCTTTCAGATGCATAAAATTGAATCCGGTTTACTTTTCATCCGCAACCTTGGGAAGACCCAACGCAGTCTCAGATCACATTGCACTAACAGTGCGGCATTGTCACATTCGGTGCCTTTTCCTCTAAGAAACGTTAGCCTGCTAATAAGCTCTTCGCTATGATTTAAAATCACTCCAACTTTGTAAATGAACACCCGCACCGTTTTTTCCAGAGACGACTTGACGACCTTTAATCAGAAATGTGGTGAGTGTGTGTTTTAAGCGTCTGGGCTGTTGTAGCATGTCGGTAATTCTCGTTGTTTAGACTGAGGGGTTGGGTTTACGTACAGTTTTAGGGCACGAGAGCGTTTGGGCTGCTAGGTCGAGAGCCCTTGTTGTGTATTTTGAGATCGTTTACGCTGTATAAACACACTCTAATCTGGCAGATGCACTGGATCCCGTCCAGCAGCAGTCGGAAGGGATTTTCCTCAAGTTCAGGGTGTGTGTATGTGAACTCTTTAACTTCTCTTCATCTGTGAGAACCTTGTTTATCGTATGTTCTCTTCTGCATTTGTTTGAGTTCGCGCATGTTCACATTCGTACAAATATCTTAGGGTATGTGACCTGCGGCTGTGTGAGCGAATGGGCGTTCGTCTGATTGCACCGAAATCATGATGGAGGACAGACTGTGGTCTCGCTCTTTATCTCTGTCCTGCTGAAGTGTGTGTGTGTTTGGCAAGTTACAATGCAGCATCTTCTGTTATTGAAAGCAGTTGTTTGACCCGGTCTCTCTAGTTTCTGGTTTGACCCACATAGTTGGACTGTGTTATGAACTTGTTTATGTGTGTCCTCGAGCAGATGGAGTGTCGGCCGCAGAGACGTCGGCTATCGAGACCTCTACCCAGCAGGCTTTGCACTACGCTCTGGCTGGAGCCGCACAGCAAGTCCAGATTCACCGTATAGGAGAAGACGGACAGGTGCAAGTCGTGAGTATCATCATATCATCATCCAAAAGGCCAACCCACGCAAATATATATAAATATACTAGTGCTGTCAAATGATTAATCGCGATTAATCGCATTCCAAAATAAAAGTTTTTGTTTACATAATATATGTGTGTGCACTGTGTATATTTATTATGTATATATAAATACACACACATACAGTATATATTTTGTAAATTACATTTATATATTTATATTCTTATATTTTATATTATTTATATTATATTTATTTAATATATAAACATAACATATCTTTCTTAAATATATACATGCATGTGCTTGTATTTATAGATACATAATAAATATACACAGCACACACACATATATAATGTAAACCAACTTTTATTTTGGATGCGATTAATCGTTTGACAACAATAAAATATACATTAAACTGCAGCACAGTGAATCATGACTCAACTCTGTCTTTCTATCTATATATCTATCTATCTGTCTGTCTATCGTTCTTTCGTTCTATCTATCATTCTGTTGTTTGTTCGTTCGTTTATTTGTTCTAGATAGATAGAGAGAGAGAGAGAGAGAGATAGAGACTATATATTTGGGATTATTTGGAAAGAAAAACCCAGGGGGTCCGGCAATTATTGTTTGCAAGTTTTTAAGTTAACCCAAAGCTAAAGCTCAGCAAAAATGTATTATTAATAAAAATAAAATTACAATTTTCATTAATTATAATTAAAATTGTCAAGCATGGCTCTTTACATTTAAAATTATTTGATTTTATTATTATACAATAATTATTTAAATGCCTTTACAATGTGAGCACAGTTTAAGAGGTTCTTGGAGCTCAAGGTGGGCTCTTTTGACTTAGCCAGTATGCAGGGCCATAGCAACCATGGCCAACCACCACTTTTTTCACCAAACGTAAATATCTTATGGCGATTTTCCACTGCGTGGTATGACTCGGTTTGCGTTTCCACTGCAGTTCATTACCGCTTTAGAGTGGGCGGGATTATTCACATGTCGTTATAGTTGCGCCGCCTCTACTACCACGACTCCTGAAAACCTTTTCGGCCAATCCGTGATCAGCAGAGTTTACACGTCACGGTTTGGTAACGTTACGGTTCACTTGGAACCTCAACCGAGGTGGTACTGAAAAAAGTACCAGGTACTGTACCCAGTGGAAAACCCCCCAAAAGTGAACCGTACCGAACCTTACCATGCAGTGGAAAAGCACCATTACTTAATTCAGACATTTGCAAGACCACACATCTCGTAACAACGCATACATACCCATTCATCTCAAATCTGTCTCAGCTGCGCAGACAAATGCATAAACACACTCAAACATCTCCTGATCTCTCTGTAAGAAGGTCTGGGTCTCCCTGAACTCTGGTACTCAGAGGAAAAGTCAATCCCCTGCAATCGTTTAATGGAGCTTTAACAGCAGAGTTTCCGCTGTGCCCGATCATGAGGTCCTAAACATGATCTCTGACTCTCACAGCTGCATGAGGTCATCTCCACCCCGACACACCATCCGAAATATGATCTGCATACATTGTGACAGCACAATCAAAACCCTGAATACACAACGTATAATCAGGAGAGTTAAATCTGCGGAGGAGTTCTTGGCATCAGTGGACTCAGAAACGGATCTGTCATCTGTTGTTTGTGTAACATCTCCCTGAACCGAACCATAATAGTTGTACTCTCGGAGGCAACAACTGAATGGTCAGCTTTTGTCAAGGCCTTTGGTCACTCGCACATAATCGATAATTTTAGCTTGTCAGATACGGCAAACAATGACACGCTCTTTTTAGGTTTTGAATGATCGCTTGTGTATAAACTTTCCAAAATTAGACTTTTTTCATGAGAATTTTGGGAAGGGTTTGGTGGAAAAAACTGATTAACAAAACCAGTAATATCAAATGTTTAGGAACACATCATATTATTTGTGGAAAAATGTGTTGTTTCTATACCGCAGTATTGAACTATCAAGCAACACGAGACTAAAAAGTCATCCAAGGTTAACCATGATACATTTGGCGTGTTATAATAATTTAAATACAGTAAATACTTTACTGAAAGACGCCAGTCGTTTTGTTATGATTGTCATTAGAAAACATCATTACATTGCCATTATTGGTAAATTTGTAGGGCCCTATGATTTCTGCGATGTGGAAAACACAGACGGAATCGCGGAATCCAGTCATAAAAACGGAATTTACTGTATAAAACGGAATGTCACGGAATTTGCCAAATTTTGGATGAATAAATCAAAAGTAGGTCAGTACATTTCAATCAAATGGACTAGTGTCTGTGAATATTAACCCACAAAAAGCCTATTTAAATCCTGCATGTTCTGCGTGTCCCTGTGTGAATGAATAGCGCAGACGTGCGGTTTTGTTTACTGCACATACATGAACACATGAACATCATCTCTAGAACTGCTGTGAGAGTCACTTCATGAGCATTTTACCTATCGTCTATCGTCATATCATATACACACAGAAACCTAAAGATCTTCACAGCAACCCATCAAAATAAAAGTTCAGTTTAACTTGAAGAAACTGTGACAGAAATATATTACTCAATGTAATGATAATAAAATTATTATTAAAACTTTATTTTTAAAGAAATATTAACCAGAAAAAAATGTTTTCCAGAGTTTATTTACCAGAAAAATGTAAATACCCAAAACAGGATTTGAAAATAAAGAAATAAAATAATAAATAATTTTTTTAATCAAATCAATTATAGATGCTTTTGATTCTTCTATATATATATATGTATATACTCACCTGCCTATAGCCTTAGTAATCCTGAAGACATTGATTAGCTTGTTCAGGTGTGTTTGATTAGGGGTGGAGCTGAACTCTGCAGGACTGCGGCTGTCTAGGACCGAACTTGCCTACCCCTGGTCTAGGGTAACATGGTTGAATATATTTGCACTTTGCGGTTGCAAAACACTGCAAAAACTGGGGAAAAAATTCTACTTCCTACTGTGGGAAGGATTCAAATGCTGTTACTTTTTGTCATAAAAAAATAAAAAGTACTTAAGTTTTTGTGGTAAAATCCTGTGGTAACAAGGTTGTGTTCTTGTTGAACAGAGCTAAATATTACAATTTTAGTACTTAAAATTAGTTTATAATTACAAATTGTTTAATTACATATGAATTGAATATAAATTCCACAGATTGTCTCAAAAATATGACATGGTCTTATGAATTATTGAGTTGGTGGGAGAGGCCAAAATGATCATTTTAAGAATGAGGTTACAAACATTTAGTGCTACTTTAATGCTAGTTCATTTTAAGGTAGATAATCTGTAATTAATAGTTATTGCAACAAAAACCCGGTAGATGTACATCTAAGGCGCTGTTCACACACAGAACACATTTTTGCATTCCACTGCTTTGATTTCTATTGTTTTTCTTTAACATTGTGCTTGACACAGTGTTATAAAAACATGCTCAAGTTCAAACTATTAAAAAATTGTCTAGAGACTTTTTTTTTTTTTCATTCCACTGCTCATGTCTTGCATTTTTAAACACAAAAATCCATTTCTGCATGAAAGTCCTCTAATGCTTTTGCAAAAATGTGGGACAGCAATCTGTATCTCATCCATGGAAACTGGCAGCTGCTGAAATTTGAATATGTCTGTCTTTCCTGTCTTGCAGGGCAACCTACAGATCCACCAAGTACATGTTGGGCAAGATGGCCAGGTAAATGTAGGTACCCTTTTACATTTATTGGTCTGTTTTTGTGTGACAGTGTCTTTGTGCGTCCTCTTTCGTTTTTTATTTGTTCTGAGAAAGTGATGTTTGGGACAGAGTGCACTTCCTGTTTCTCAGCACACATCAAAGATGGACTCTAGATTAAACAGGGCTGAAAAGCAATAGAGGCCTGTGTGGAAATTCAGCTCATTTCACACACACAAACACATTCTGAACGTCAAAATTTTGGATCGTTACAGTAAACTAGATAAAAATAAATATTGAAATATTGCTCTGGCAGCTGGCTAAAATAAAATAAATTGAAGGATTTTCTTTCCTTTTTTTAAGGGACCGTTTACACGACAACGTCTTCAGCCAAAAACGGGAAACTTTTTATTCGTTTTGACTGTTCGTTTACACAACAACGGCATTTTGGGGACTGAAAACGAATATTTTTGAAAACGGGTTTCAAAGTGCAAGTTTTTGAAAACGCCACCGTTATCATTTCCGTGTGAACACCCAAAACGGGAATCTTTGAAAACGGTGACGTCATGCGCGTGCGTAGTATGTGTTCGGTATGTAGACATGCGCAGTACGTGTCGATTTTAAAGGCAAGTGCGAACAAACATACACAACAATGGTACTGTTTTTGTACATGGTACTGTTTTTGCTGTTTAAGAGTTTGCTAACGCTTCTTCAGCAAAGTGTGGATTTACTTCACCAATATTACAACCAACAGCGGAGACGCATCATATACAACATATAATCGTCACTTCCCTACAGGTACTGTTTACTAATTGTCGTGTAAACGTAGCCTAAAAAAATATATTTTATTTCAGTAAACATTTCTTATTTCACTGAACATTTTTTTATGGTATTAGTTAAATATAATAACCTGAACTTAGCAACCATATAACAACATTCAGCGTTGTAGTGGAATAGGGCTGTCAAATAAAAATCCACATTCGAATGCAAAAACGTTGCATTCGAATTTTAGGTGTGCGTTGGGCAGCCTTATCAGTGGCACACGAGATGCGATGACGATGTAGGTGTCATTGCATTTTAATGCTTTTATTAGCCTATCCAATTGAACCCACTAGATGTGGTGCTGCTCATTCAAAATATTGCAGAAAAAGAGAACATCAACGCGGAGAAGATCTACGGCAAAACCGAAACCAAGCCGTTCACACAGAACACATATTTATCGCATTTTCTATAGGGGCATCTATCCCATTGCACTCGTGTGTCACATGTTTAAAAAGCCATGTAAAATTAATTTAAGTTCAACTTTTAAAAAACATGTCTCGAGACTTTATGGCAGTTTTTCTCCATCCCAATTCATCTAATGTTTTTAAATGAAAGTTTTCAGTCCTTTGTATTAAACGATACATACATACATGATGCTGTTTTGTTTCTAATTGTTTAAGCAACTTAATTATATTTAGTTTATAAACATTATTTTAAACATTATGCATTCTTTTTTCAAAGATGGCCATGTTATTTTATTGCTTTGAATAAATGTGCATTAGTAATATTTTGCTCGAAGCACCCTCTTGAAATTATGCCTTTTAAATTCTAATATAATTTGAATATTGATAATATTTAAGTACAAAATTCGAATTTAGTTTTTCAGTCATTTTGTCAGCTGTGTTGTGGAACATACACTTCAAAAACTGCTCACTTTTTCCTCAGAAACTGAAAATCTAGGTTGTATTTTGCCATTAAGGCGGCTTTTGCTGTTTTATCAGCACTTGTTTTTACTAGCCTGTTTCCCAGTTCCAGCTTTTTACACACACTCATGCACCCATAACATACTCCATTATGGTGATAGTTTTCATCTGTACAGTAGCAATGAGTAAATGTTTGCATTTTTTTTTATATATTCCTGGCAAATCTCCCAGATGCTTGTAGATATGAGGGTGTATTTAGTCCCATAGTGCCAAAGTTTGCACGTACACAAAATACATGTTTCCTGAAATCTCTAACTGGCTAATATGCATTAGACAACATCTATCTGCATTCACGTGAATCGAAATACGAAGAGGAAATAGGCGAAAGAAAATGTCATTAGCCCTAAAACAGCGTTCAGATGATTTCCCTGGACCTCTTCCACATCTCTCTCTGCATCAGGTCTTTTTGTCCCTTCCAAGGATTTCTTCACTCTGGTCCCTCCTCCTCTTCCTCCATCTCCTCTCTTTTCATCTCCACGTGGTATGGTTCATCTGTCTTCGACTCCTCTCCATCCTGTAAACAGCTGTAGGCCTGTCCTCCACTCAGCCTCAGGTCAGCAAAATTTCAGGCCAGCAGTACTGCAGTCACCTCAAAGCTTTCAGCAGGGGTATAAATGCTCCGAAAACACTTTATATCAAAGTGTTTACACAGTAATGGAAATTCTGTCGTCATTTACCCTTGTTCCAAACCCGTTTGATTTTCTTTCTTCCATAAAACACAGGAGAAGTTTCGAAGAATGTCCTGGTCGCTATTTTCCATACAAATACAACGAATGTGAAATTATATTTCATGTTTCAAAAAAGATGCAAGAAAAAGCTAAAATGATCATTAAAGTGATCCATACGACTTGTATACTTTGTTGGTCTTTTTTTGATAGATTACTTGATAGAAAGTAAGCCATATGCGTTTGGAACGGCACCAGGGTGAATAAACAATGACAGAATTTTACTTTTTGGATGAACTATTTCAAGTCCAAGACATTCTATAATAAAGCCAATAAAAATATTAATTACCTTGGCAAAAAGTGGTCCATATGCATAACAGACAATGTCCTCTGTGCTTCACTGTAAACTCTGTCTTTAACCTGAATCAAAATTTTCTGTGACCTGAATTCAGATGAAAGCCATGGTAGACCATAAAACCATCTTGATTATGCAGAATATTTTATAATTGCTAAAGAAATATTTTTGTTTTCTCAAATAACATGATAGCTTGAATGAATCCTTTAGACTGGATATAGTGTGTGAGACATATGGACCACTTTTATGATGCTTTGTGTTGTTTTTAATGCTTGAGAAATCTGATTCATTTTAATTGCATGAAAAAGAGCGACCAGCACAGGTCTTCTTGTCTCAGTTTGTTTTCCACAGAAGCATTAAAAGTTAAAATAACATGAGATTGCATAAATTACATTTATAATTTTTTCTTTAGCAATTATAAAATATTCTGCATAATCAAGATGGTTTTATGGTCTACCATGGCTTTCATCTGAATTCAGGTCACAGAAAATTTTGATTCAGGTTAAAGACAGAGTTTACAGTGAAGCACAGAGGACATTGTCTGTTATGCATATGGACCACTTTTTTGCCAAGGTAATTAATATTTATTGCCATTATTATGGAATGTCTTGGACTTGAAATAGTTCATCCCAAAAAGTAAAATTCTGTCATTGTTTATTCACCCTGGTGTCGTTCCAAATGCGTATGGCTTACTATCTATCAAGCAATCTATCAAAAAAAGACCAACAAAAAAACAAAACAAATATGAAAGTAGTCCATATAATCTGTGCACTATTTTTCAAGTCTTCTGAAGCCATTAAATAATTGATTGAAATTTAGTCATTAGTCACTGCAAATCTTAACTGTAACTCACATATAGTGCAGGTTGGATGTCAGTCAAATGTCTCTGTGACCAAACATCTTTACAGCATATTTGATTTTAGAGCTACAGCAAATAACTTACATTTTAAATTAGATTTGGAACATAGTCCACTTTTCATTTAGACATTATTTTATGTTTTAGGTGTTTTTCATTCCAATTGGGGCTTGAAAGATGCAGCCTGTACAAACCTTGTTTTGCAAATAGTGTAAAGTTCCTTCTTTGTCTGGTTAAGCAGGGTATCTGAATTGCATTTGAGTTTTTACATCCCCATCTGGCCGCCATGTTCTCTCTGCTGTCAAGGGGAAGAGCCCATGATTTACAGGCTGTCAGTCTATATCAGTGTGCCATATCATTTAGCCCCTTTCCACTATCTAAAACAAGCACGCACACAGCTGGCACATGAAAGACTACCATGAGAGAAAGTGAAGTAGTGTTAACAGTGCGTTAAATCAGTCAGTGACCTCTTATCTGATGCCCCCTCTCTTGCACTCTGATCTGACCCCCACATCTACAGAGGTCCAGAGCGACAGATAAGGAAAGGACGTGAAAAGATGGTGAGAAGACTGAAGTCTGAGGAGATTTTGTTTTTGGTTGGTACAATTGGTTAGTTCCACATTGTGCTTGCAAATTCTTCAGACCAGACGTTGCAGATGTTTATTACTGAAACCTCTCAGGCCTTGTGTTTTCTATGAACAAGAGTTATTTATTTACTTCTCCTTTCACAAGGAGATGGTGTACAGCTGTGCACCCAGTTGGGAATCTGAACGGTGTTGCAGTCACTTCCTTGACCGGTTTTGAGGTAGTTATGAAGAATGGAAGTAGGAAGGGGGAGTTTTGGCTCCTGTTGGTAAGTCCAGGTGCATTAGTTGATGTTTGGCAAGTACAATGGATATGTGAACAGCTCTGCAGAAGTGTGGTTGTATCTCAGAGGTTGTCTGCAGCCAAGTACTGCCTATTTTGACAAGAAAGGTAAAGCGAGCATCCAAAATGTGATGTTTAGGGCTGTTGAAACTGAAAACATAGTAGTAGAAAGTGGTAGCTTGTTCAAATAATAAATGAATGAATAGCGCTACCAGTGTAGTCTAATTCAATCTGAATCTAATCGAATCTGGAAATGTGTATCGATACTCAACCCTATAAGCTTGGTACATTGAGTCCATTTTATTCCCCAGCAAACTGATTAAAATAAAATGTACCATTAACAGTATCAAATAAAAGTCCTGCCCAGCTGTCAAGCTGAATTGCATTTGATTTACAGGCTGTCAGTCTATATCAGTGTGCCATATCATTTAGCCCCTTTCCACTATCTAAAACAAGCACGCACACAGCTGGCACATGAAAGACTACCATGAGAGAAAGTGAAGTAGTGTTAACAGTGCGTTAAATCAGTCAGTGACCTCTTA